ATTCATGTTCTTGGGCTAGTGAACCCGTGGGCTGGTCTGTATGTAAGTTTCGGGGCGAAAAAGTATAGACCAGGACCAAATAAGGCACCATGCCACAGTTTACGACAACTCTGGGCTTCCTTTGGATTCACCTGTTTTATGGTGGAAGTTTAGTTTGTAAAATTTTCAGAGAAAGGAGGTGTCAATGGGGTTGAACTTCTCTATACGTCCATTTCACCCACAGAACTATCGTTATTCATCTATGACATGTAAACTTTTGAAGTTTTGCATTCTTTGACCCCTTTAAAAATAACATGTTGCCTGTTTATATCCATGAATTATTTAAAAAGTGAGAGTTTCATAGGGTGTAAAATTTTCAAGATTCAATATAAAGTAACATTGCGGTTCTTTTGTTGGGGCCTATTAATTTGTTTTTGTTTTTTAAATAACTGTCACGATTCTGCACTTTCTGGTTCAGTTTAAGTTTTATTTAGAGCTTTCAGTTATACTTTGATTTAAGTTTTTCTATATTTTCTAATTCATTTTCATTTTGTGTTGTTTTCTGGTTCTATTTGAGTTCTTGTTTACTCTCTGTTGTCCTCTTGTGTCAGTCTCCTTCCCCTAGCTCCCTTCTAGATCATTGTGTCCACACCTGCTCCCAATCTGTTGCTACTCCTTTTTTTGTTCTGTTTGACATATATACTCCTCCACTTCAGTCTCTGTTTGCTGATTTCTCGTCATGTGTGTTTTTCCTGATGCCTCTTGGTTTTTTTTGGTTTTCTGGATTTTGTGTTTGGTCTTTGCTTCTGTTGCCTTAAATCTTGCATTAAATCTGCAAGTAACCATCTCAGCTTCCATCTCTCCACCTGGGTCCTCTAGAAACCTCCACACCACCTGATAATAAATTGAAGGTTGATTATAACCTTCAAATAATAATAATAATAATAATGTAGCTTATACTGCATCAAAGTGTTAGCTTTGTAAGAATGTATGATTTATAGCGTTGCAACCTTTTTTTTGAGGGGTGGGCGACATTTTTCAGACGTTTATATTGTCTGTGTTTTTATGCAATATATATTTTTCTGCAGCTAGTTTTTCCCAATAATAAACATGCATTTGTGACAAGCAAGTCATTCATTTAATTCCTACAGGCACACCTGCAGGTTAATTATACCTTATCTTAGTCTCACACTGTTGACTTCTGTTGTTGTTGAGATTTTACATTAACTGCACACTCCTGATGGTTGACTTCTGTGTTTCTGTTTTTTGCTATGTGTTTTGATCCAGTGTACTTTAGTAACTCAGGCTATCTGCAGCAGACAGAAACCAATGATACACACTGGATGTTTGTTTTGTCTGCCTCTTATGAGTGCAATATGCTAATCTGTTGGGATTATGTGTTTCTTATGGTCAAGAGGAAAGTTTTTTTTCTTTGCTGTAGGTTTTCTCTGTATAACTTTCCCAATGCTTCAGTGTTGCTGTTCTGGTATATGACATTTCCTAAACATCACAAAACTGGACTGCATTTTCATTATTATTATTATTATTATTATTATTATTATTATTATTATTATTATTATTATTATTATTATTATTATTATTATTTTGTTAGATTTCTTAACAAGCTTTAACATCGCACAAACAGCTTTTCTGAAGTACATCAGAACAGTATTGTTTTATTTCTATCACCACCTGGGAAACAAGATTGCACATCTCTAAACACCAACAATTCTTCCCAGAATAAGGTCTGCTTCATGAGGCAGTTTCTAGATGTCTATCAGCATGAATTTATCAGGGGAAAATTAATATATAGAATATCATTATGACCTGTGGGTGAAGTTAAGTGTTTAAACTGAACCTCCCTCATTGTTTGAGACCCTTGTAAATTAAGGAACTAGTTATTGAGCTTCCTTGTTAAGGATGTTAAGTTTGAGTAAATAGATCATTGGTCATTGGAAAAATACTTTTCTATTTGTTGCTAATTGTAGAGCCTTTCTCAATAAAAACATAACAGTTGGTTTTCATGTTGTATTCCACAATGAATGTTACTTGTAATAGCATACAACCTATAACAGCCAGGTTCTTCTGCAAATTAAAAGCAGATTCATACTTTTTTTTTCATTAGCAGCTGGAACCCAATTATGCAGTCTGGTCCCTGCATTTCAAAGCTTTACTTATTAACAGTGTTCTCATGTTTTACTCAAAGCAATAATAAATTTGAGAATTTTGCAAAACCAAAATTACTGATAGAGTTACCTACCTAAAGATGCAGAGGACCACAATTGCTGTAGTTAGAGAGATGAGCGAAACACTGTGACCAATGGTGTAGCCAACCTTCACCTGCCAGAAAAATTTCCCCTAAAAATGACAAGAAATTGAGAAAAAAAAGAGTCACATAATGCTAAATATTTAAAGTCTGTATCAGAGGTCTGCAACCTTTCATATCTAAAGAGCATTTTTACCCAGAGTACTTTATTGAAATGCGAGTAGCCAAGTGTGCAACACACTTGACAAAAAAAAAAGCCTTTCAGATGGAGAGATGATTGTAAAATTGACAGCTCAAAATGAATACCAGGCAGAATATCCATCCAGAGAGACATCAGAAAACACTGTTTATGTGTGCAAGGCTGCATATTATCAACCATGAAAATCCTGCTTCTCCTCTGAGCAAGAAAGCAACATAAATCTATCTCCACATATAGCATAATTGACATAAAGTTTTCATTTTTATACCACATTCCAGCAAAAATTATAATGCTGTTTCATGAGGATGTTTATTTTTCTGTTATTTTCTATTTCCTGTCAAAGTGTATTGAAAATGTAATAACACTTTTAACATTTTCACATTTTGTCAAAACACCACAAATTAGTTTCAATTTTGCGAAATAAACAAACACTAAAAACATGTAATTTGGAGGTGGAGGAAAATTTAGCTTTGAATGTTTTTTTTACAAATAACATTCTGACATAAGTTCCTTTTATTTGACAACTCTAAAAATGTAATGGCAATTAATTTGATCTTTTTTGTTCACAAAAGAATAACAATTCACAACAGATTCATAAGCAAATAAATAATTTGTGCAGGAGAGATGAGAAATCTTCAACTTAAAATTACTTATGGATGGAATAAAACTGTAGCCAATCAGTTTAAATACAAGTTATTGCAGGACCTTGTATGCTTTTTTTCAACATGAACAGTGTATTTTTTGAAGAGTGGCAGTGAAGATGCATGGAATTTATACAGAGCAATCCTGGAAGAAGCTCTAAACGCCTGTATAAGACTTGGTTCTAATGTTTGTCCTCGAGCAGTGCGACGACCCCAAACATACTACAGCTACAAGCGGTTTAGATCAAAGCTTTTTTAGCTGTTAGAAAAGCCGAAACACAGTCCAGACCAAAACCCAGGTAAGAATCTGTGGCAAATCTTAAAAAATAGATTTTCTCAAACCCTTTCCTATAATCTTTAGCTATTTTGGATAGAAGTGAAGGCACACTAACTGAGGAACACTATAACAGACCTAATAAAAAACTAGTCTAAGCCATTTTGCAATGAACATGTTTCAAAATGATCAATAACTCTTCATCAAGCAACAGTCAAGTTTGGACTGTTTCATCCATAAGACAAGGGGAATATGAGTCAGTCATACTGTATATGAGCGGATAATTACCTGTACTAGAAGTCTCTCATTGACTTCAAGAGTAGACAGCAGTTAAAACTAGTATTGACCCACAGAGCCTGAATTTTAATGCATGTCACACTTACTTTCAATTCACAACTTTCACCAAAACACGTGAAAAGAATTTGAAGTATATCAATGCATTAATGAAACACTGCATACAGTATGAATCAGTCAGATATTTATTATTACGTGTATCTGGTTCATTTCTTGTCATTTAGAATATAATTACAGGGATTAATGCTTTTCTGAAGTTAGCAGCTCTGTGTCTTTCTTTCAGCTATAGGTTCAGTACTGCTAGTGGTGTAAAGGTTAAATCTTAGCCTTAGAATTGTCTTCATTCCCTGTGTGTTTGTGGCATTATTCTTTATATTTTACTTCAAACGAAAATGAGATCAGAAGCTCCGCATCCTGTGATACACAAGGACATCAACTATGCAGAGAAATGGACATCAAATTCCTTTTAGAGTCCCCGACTCGCTCGAACCCTGCTGAATTCCTATGTGGCATACTAATGAGACTCTGGTTGACTCAGAGAGCGACTCCAAGAAAGCTTTTTACCGCCGTGTAATGCTCTTCCACTCCACGTACTGCCCCACCTTCATCAACACTGACAGAATTAGCCTTTTTTGCACTTAACCAAACCTTACACTGGATTGAGGAGGTAAAAGAGACATTTTGCAAATGGAACAAGAAAATTTACATTTAAAATAAGAAAACACAATTGCATTGTCTTATTTCAAGTGCATATTATCTAATTATCTTATTTTAAGAGTAAAAATACTCATACAATTGGCAAAATATCTCATTTACTTACTCAAATAAAGGGCAAATACACATAATTTAAGATATTTTTACTTATTAGAGATTTTTTTTCCAGTGTAGGAAGGCAAAGTATAATGTATATCTTCCTTTTCTAACCTCTCTTCCTCTTGGAAGCATTGTTGACTAATGTCTCGTTTGCCCAATGACATACTTTCTGACTGACCGGGTCATATCAGTGTAAGGTTTTAAGGGTGCAACGCTTCGGCGAACAATCGGCAGTGTTGACTTGGAGTTGTATTCATATTTAATGCTGGCAGCATATTTTCTCCTAAACATCATGAATTGTTTAGTTTAAAGGATTTTTTCTTCAAAACCGACACAGAAATCTAAAACAAACTCACACACTCCCATGTAGTTGAGTCAAATTCAGCTCTAGGATACAAATTTATTCATTGTCACACTGAAAATATGTTTGCTTTCCCTTTAAAGACAGGCACCCTGACAGAAAGATAGAAATGAAAGCAGATATGAGATAAAAACCAGAGCCAAGAGTCCAGCAGTCAATACAGCAATCTAGCTGATAGACCTAACAACAATGGCCCACAGACCAAAGGAAAGATGCTCTCATTGAATTCTTTCTGCCCACTGGCTCTTGACATGCTCCCCTGCCTCACTGTTGCATTCATTCGCCGCAGGACTTCAAGAGCAACCTATAGATGATGGCAGCTTACTCACATCATCACTGGTGCTGTTGAGATTGTATCCACAGTTCACAGCGATGTCAATAGGATGCATCTCTGTCCATCCATCTGTTGTGCAGGTTTTGGAGAGGTTCCCTAGAGGGGGAGAGAGGGAGTAGAAATAATAATAAAAAAGGTCAGAGCCACCCAGTGAGTGAATCTTTTCTTTCATCTGCACAAAAGGAGTCAAAGTTAGTTCAACTCTGTCCATGTAAAATTGACTTCTATGACAACAAGCAAGCTTCCGACTTGTAGACACACATGTATGACTGCCTCCTGCTAATACAAATAGCTTCTCTGAAGGATCACATTCTGCAGAACAACACTGGAAACTTGGTTATATTTCATTAGTTTTTCAAAATTTAATATATTAGACAGAATACAATGCGTTTATTGGGATTTCATGTGATAGACCAAGACAAAGTTGAGCATAGCTCATTTCTTTAAACCTTAAATGTGTAGTTTGGTATGTTCTACATCAAGATGGTAGATCCAGAGCTGTATGAGACTTTCATAAAGATCATTTATAAGTCTACTTTAAAGAGGTCTAAGGATTTTAAATCAACTCTCAAACCAGCTGGGTCACATTTCCCCCCCCCCAATACTTTCAATATGAGTTTGTGACAATATAATTGTTGAGAACACAATTTGTCAAAAAGATTTAGCACTAAGGAAATATATACCAAAATATTTTTTTAGTTTTTCACTTTTACATTTTTTTCTTTTAAATGAGGAGTGCTGAAACAGAAACCCCCCTAATAAAACTAAAGAAGCTGGATTGTAACCTTTAGTTTTCCACTCTCGGCTTATTAGTGCCCCACAGCCTGTCTCAAAACCCTGCATCATCTTATATGTTAAACATTAAATGCACAAAAAAGAAGTAACAAAATCCAATAAGCAATCCCTTCGACCATGGTAAGCAATTTCAGATTTGTTGTCACGAAGCCTTGGCGGAAGTTTACCTGAAGAAACTGATAAGTTATCCTCATCCGCCTCCAACACAAGCAAATCTGCTTTGAATCACACCTCCACGAAAGCACAATCAGCTTCCAGAGGTTATCTTAAAATGTCTCCAATCCACAATTCAGTCTGCTACCCAAAGCACAGGCAGTGGTTGCTCTATTCCTGACTTCCATTCAGATGACCCCGATTCAACCCACCTCCAGACGCTTCTCCACCATCGTAGCTAAAGCTTCATCTGAGTGTCATTCCTCCCCTACTCTTACTGCGTTCCCTGTCTCATCTCAACCGGTCCAGCAGAAGACCGCCATGTTGAGCCTGGTTCTGCCAGAGGTTTCCTCCCAATGTGGAGTTTTTCCTTTTCACTGTCACTTCATGCTTGCTTATCAAGGACAGGTTCATGCAACATGTGTTATCCAAGCTGGACTTCCATCTTCCAGGTCCCTGAGTGAAGCACTAGCATCAGCTCACGCAATCCACTGGATTTCTCCATACAGCTCAAGCACACCATCCCGCAACCAACCAACCAGCAGTTTATGGACTGACCAACTTCAACTATCTCCACTCCCGCACCAATTTCAGGCCTGGGGGGGAAACAGCCCTATTCTTTGCTCCAGTTCACATCAAAACAAAATTTATTGCTAATGTTTCGTGAGCACCAAAGACTAAAGAAATATTATCAATAAAATTCTTCTAATTGTCTTTTTCTTTCCGTGTGAGTTTTTCAGATTGAATTTAGTGTTCAGTGATATGAACAAGAAGATGGAAATACAATTGTTTTAAACTTGAATTGAAAAGAAAGTTACGAACAATTATTACAAACAATTAAACTCAGAGATGGAAGATAATCTGTTTAGGACTTTTTTAAATGTTTTTTTTTTTTTGGGGGGGGGGTATTTTCTCTTCACAATTTCTGAAGTAGAAGCTTCTTAAGAACAGTA